CTGCCCCCGATTGGGGGTGGGGCTGGCCGGGGGAGGGACCATGGGCAGTTGTTGGCTCCACCCCTGATTGGGATGGGGGGAGGGGCTGAAGGAGTTGTGGGGGTCAATTGGGGCCCGGATCGGGCCGGTTGGCAGCCACAGTGCTCATCAAAGAGACCAGTGGTTCCCGTCATTCTGCCATTCTGGTCGCTGGGCTTTTATATATATAGATTCCAGAAACAATGCCAAGAAGCAAGTTACACTGTGGCAAATTGGTGTCAGATACCAGCTAATATATCAAATATGCCCAAATCACGTGAGCTGTTTTTGGCAAATGTTCTTTACTCATTAGGCTAATTCTAACTCCATTAAAAACATGAACTTATTTTCTTAGCTGTGGCTTGCTTAGGGCTCCATATCGTGGCACATTTAAAAGGACAGTATAATAGCTCAAGGCTCTAGTCTACAGGAACACTGTCATGACAGTGACTTTTTATACTTTCATCAAAGTGATTTTTAAATTCTGCCCTCAATTTCCAAAGTTAAAGCTCCACTTCTTCTTTCCAGGCCACACAATTAATTTGAGGGCTTCAATAAGAATACTTTCTGGACTTGATCTAGGGCTGCTTGTAAAAATGCAATTTGCTGTAACTATGTAAGGGTAGGTGTGCCTGCAGTCCACCTTGCACCAAGGTGAGATAATCTTCTATTTAGGCAAGTATACCAAATAGATATCTGAATTTTAATAACACAAAGCTTGCCACTACGTGGAATAATAAAGTCATTACTTTAAAAAAAAACCCTATGATATTCCTTAGTAATGATCATCTGAAACCACTTAACCAATCTTGTGAGAAAGTGGACCAAGATCCTGAGAGAGTGATGGTTATGGCAATATTTCCCAAATTGCATAATAATGGTTCTATTTGTTAAAAGGGTATTTGGAAGTCATATAAAAGTAAATGATATTCCTGATTCTTAGAGATCAAAATGCACACTGACGTGTTAAGAACTAATCAGTCTAGTAATGAATAATGTCTAACACATCATTTCACAAATTTATACCTAGAACCCTTTTCCCCCTCCAAGTAATACAGTTAACATCTTGCACAAACATAATTTGGGACATCCTGGTTTCACAGGCATCTGAGCCATCCATTTTGATACTAATGCCAACACTAGAAATTTAAATAACTGCACCAATTGCCTTGTTCTTTAAAAATGTTCCTTCACTGAATTTCAGTTTATTAAATTGCTTTTGTAGAAACTATTCTATTCAACATTTTAATGTAAAAAAACCCACAAAATTATTTTAAAGGTTTTTTCCCACAAATTTGAAAAATAAGACAATGTTAACTACTTGGAAAATAAATGAATTCAGTTGTGTACAAAGTGAGAGGCTGAGACTATCACAGCAGCCTCTAACCTCAGGCTTCTGACAGAATTCAAGACTACTTCCTACCAAAAAGAAAGTAAATATATTGCATTTGAATAAAAAAAGATAAGAGCAAATATTTGCATAAGCAGCCATACAATTGTATCAATGCCAATGGTGTGATAAAGTTTAATTAAAATTTTCAATGGGAAGCCCATGAAAATATGTACTTGAGACAAAGAAGAAGGCTTACACACACACACACACACACACACACACAGGCATGCCCCAAAGGAACAGGTGTTGCTATAGCTCTAAATACAAAAATCAAGAATGCTGGAATAAAAGAAATGACAACATGCAGAAAAAAAATCAAAATTAGCTCAAGTAACAAACAAAGAAACAAACAGCTGAAACTTTGCCTCCCCTACACCTGGGTTCCAGAGCAGGCAGGTGCCTCAGGGCTGGCCAGCCAATCACAGCTGCCTGGGACCTCCCAAAAACCGGAAGAGAAAGGCAGAGCTGAACTCCAGGATCCTTAGAGAGTCTGGAGCTTCGGACTCCCCTTTGCCAGCACGAGGAGGAAGCCTTCTCAGGAGAAATCAACAGGAGAGCAGAACCGAGACAAGTGCTGAGAAGATCCCTTAATTCCTGAATCAAGGAGTACCTTGATTTTCACTCTGTGAACTCTGGTTATAAAGTCAGTACTTCTCTTCAAAAGATTTAAATCTATTTTAAGATCCATTTTTTCAACTTGCAGCATATTTGCTGTTTAATGGATACATACTTGTCTATAAAGTGTTATTCCTATACTTTACATAGCCAACCTCTGCTGGGGTTTTAAGTACTTACATAGTTCTAAAAAATCATCACATATATATAGTTTTATAACAACCTTTTAAATCTCCTTAGAAAAGCTCTTTTAAATAAAATGACTAGACCAAAAGGTTAGGTTGCTTTTATGGCTTAATTTATAAAACTAAGTGGCTTTCTAAAACAGGTGAGGGCATATTAGTGGATAATGCTACCAAGCTTTGAATAAGATCGTGGTTATGTGGGTCAGGAACCTCACCAAGTCTAACTGGCATTTCCTTGAGTGCACAGTGTGACCACAGTTAACAGTGATATTTCCACATCAGTGAGTTGCCTGTCATTTGCATGTACTGTGTGTATTGTACCCACTAGGGCCCTAATGTTGTCAATTTACATGAAGTTTTCATAAAATATTTTCTGTTTATGGCCTAAAATAATTTTATATATACCTTCCACTCTTTGCTAAATACTGCAGAATGGTGTGGTGTTGTGTTGCTTCCATAAAATATTTTCTGTTTATGGCCTAAAATAATTTTATATATAACTTGTACTCTTTACTAAATACTGCAGAATGGTTTTTTATAGAATGGTTTTAAGCAGCATTTTTCAGAAAGACAATGATTTCCATTTATACTAATTAAATAGAAATGGCAGCAGTTGCTGGGCCCACTGCTGGGCACCTGCTTACTTAAGGCCTCCTGCATTTACTGAACTGCTCTACCCCCTACACTATGCATTGTATTCACTATACATTGTATTATTTTGTGGCCCATAACACAAAATTAGGAGTCCATCTATTACCGTAAACTAATGATTTTATCTGAGTCCACATTCCCACCCCGTCAGGTGACTCCTACCCAAGGCCTTGAGCTGGCTGCCTCACCAAAGGGCACACAGTGGGTCCTGCGTCCCCCACTCTACAGCTCCTCACGCCTCGCTCCTAGTTTCCTAAGTGTGGCTTCCAAACCACTTCTGTAGCTGCCTCACCTTGGATCTCAGTATTGCCTGGTTTTAATCCTCAACCTGTTCTAATGACTGTGACTGAGATGTGACATTTCACATAGTGAAATACACCTTTCTTCCTTTACGTATTTTTAAAAAGTGCTCTGCTCAGTGTTTGAGAACATTTCTGAGTAGCAATTTACCTCAATTTCATCTCACATTATGTAACGTTACTGTTTTAACCCTAAAGTTTAACTGTAATACACTAAAAAAAAGGAGTGTGTGAGAAAAGATAGCATCCCCAAAGCTGATCCCATGATGTCTCATTCTATAAATTCCATTCCTATGTGCCATATATCTGGAATTTACATTCCTGCTCTATCAAGCCTGATTTTTTCAAACCTTGGACAACTCAATTTATACCACTCAGAGCCTGTCTTCTCACAAGCAAAACAGATATATTTCCTGTATTACCAAACACAAAACATTATAAGGATCAAATGAAACCCAAGAGCAATTTATATACTATACAGAGAGCACCAAAAATGACAATAAAGCTTTCACAAATTCATTCAAAAGCAAAATATGAACATTAAGCATTTCATTGGAAAGTGTATGAAATGTCCACTCATCACCCTAACATCACCTTAAGTAAATGTGTGCTTTGGCTGCCCATTAAAGGGGAAAAAATAAAAGTTACACAATTAGCACGAATTTCTCTCAACATATTTTCAAAATAAGCAATACATACTTCCCCTGCTTCTGTCATGTGAGATTACTGGGTGTCCTCTCCTTCCTTTTTTTTATGTAACTTATCCTGAAGCAAACCACATAGCAGGAAAGAGACATTTTATCATTTTCTCAGCCTCCATAGTAGTCTACTGCGTGGACGTACCAGTTTACTTAAGCAGTCCCTTATTGGACATAAGTTATTGTCTTTTTGAAAAGAATGCAACATAAACTTTGTGGATATGTGGTTTCATTTTGTGGGGTATGTCTTCAGCAAAAATTCCGCAAAGTAGGATTTCGTGATTAATGCCATCTGCATTGCTGTGTGATTTATGCCAACATCCCTTCAGGGGGTGGAGCCATTTTGTATTTCCTTCAGCAAATTATGAAGGGAACTGTTTCTTTGCAGCCTTACCAAAGAGTTAAGTGTCAAGTTTATGGATCTTCTCCCAATAGGAGAGAAAGTACAGGATAGATTTATTTGCATTTCTCTTGTGTATAAAGACACTTTCAAAGATAATCTGCATTTATGCAGATAAAATGCATACTTTTGTCAAGGCCCACTTGGCATACAAGGTCTTGATGCACCATTGCCCTCCTCCCGGCATCCCTCTCAGTCTGCTGCAGTCACCCCGTGTTTGCTCTTACTGCCTGCACTCTGTATTCCCACCTGAGGGACTCTGCATGGAAGCCTTTGCCCCCACGTGTTCACTGGGTCCCTCTCACTTTTAGAAATGCTTAATGTCACTTAAAGAGAGCAGCTGTCTTTAACCACCCTGACTTTCTTGATTGTTCATGTCTTGTCTGCCCCTAGGATCTCCTAGAATGTAAAAACCTGAGTTGGGGGAAGAGGCGGGGGCGGGGGAGGGGGGTCCTTAAATTTCATTGTTTGTCCTGCATCTGGAATGGTGCCCAATAAATATCTACTATTTCAGTGTACCCAAACCAATTAAGTTTCTCCCAATTTTCTTATACCTTCTAAGGTTTTATTTAATGCAACCTTTTGATTTATCATCTAAGATCGGCACTGCTTCCTGATCTTGGAGTAGCCGTTATTCAGAATTAAAGACAGAAAACCCACAAAAACACTAAAAGATAGTGCTATGTCCAGTGAAAAACCAATGATGACTTTAATTAGGGATAAAAACATTTAACTTTAAAATACCTTAACTACAAATGACATCCTAATGAAGTTATAAGGAAGTATACCATCTGAATTCTAGAGGTAAATACAATGCATCTATTTTAATCTGTGTCCCCAGAATAAAGCATTACAATGGGATTGTGTCTGGCTTCACGGTGAAAGATGGCCCCTCATAACAGTGGGTAACTGAATGGTGCTCCAACCATTTGAAGGTACAGGATCAGTTATTAGAAGGCCTGCAGGGGAGCTCACGCAGCTGCATGGAAACATCCTGGATGCTCCCCAGGGGTCAGGCACAGGTCCAGGAGCTTGATGTCCTTATTCTCTTTATAACTCTGAGTGACACAGCAGCACATAAAGAGTGCCCTCATTTTTCTAAAATAGACTGTTATGTTTATATGCATACAAAAGACTCAAGAATAATAAACACCAAAATATTAATAAAATTTCTGGGTATTCTTAGCATAAGTGAATAACTTTACTGTATTTTCCAACCTTGTACATCAAATACTTATTAATATTCACCCCCACAAAAAAAAGAGGGTTAAAATAGCTACTGGAAAGAGTAAAGTTCTGTTATGCAGGTTTTTCCTGATCATGTTGCCAATTACTTCCCTACTCACGCCTCAGGGGAGAGGGAGAAAGGCGTCATTGAGAGAGAGCACCTTTAGCAGCAAATTAGCAGAGTTCATAGGTCAGAACATAAAAGGCTGCATGAAGAGTTGAGGAGTAACAATTAAATTGATGACAGGATTCTAGTGCTTTTTTGTGTGTTACTGATATCACCATCGGTTATGTCAGAAACACTGTTAGATAAAGGCAAGGTACTAGAAAAATTCTGTTAAGTCTATCTGAAATCTGTGTCAGGGTTCTTAAAAATATCGCTTTGGAATGACGTAAAGAAATCAGGTTCATCTGTTTCAGAAGAACAAGGCAGAGCATCATTCCAGTAAGTATGATTGTGTGTAGTAACCAAATAACTCAATTCTCCATTGTAGAAAAGCCAAATGTTTTACATCCAAGTAGGTATTTCTTAGTTTCCAGGGAAGTTGATGTAAAATTGTCTGAAATAAAGACATTACAAGCAACTTTCAGTGTGCTGGAACTTGATATTTGGTATTCTCACCATGTTTCTATGAAAACTTACTAATAGGCAAATGATGAATTTGAGATTTCTCATATCACTTTAGTGAATGCCCCCCAAAGTTAAAAACGAATTGAAATGAAACTCAAACTATCATGTTAAACATAAAAATGTAAGTTCTATGCTTATGAATTCCATTTTTTCAATTTTTCTGATTTAACATGACTTCTTATAGGTTTACTAGTGGCCCGGACGGAATCACTCGGACAGAAGCTTACCTTACAGCACCAGAGTAAACAGAAGTTTCCACAGGTCCTCACTTGCATTGTGTTTAAAGGTACAATTAATTCACATAATTTGTTCATTTTTTTCTACACTATTTGAATACTCTGAACAAGGAGTACTTTTCAGTTACAAAGCCATGTCCATCATCCAGGTGAATCCCCAGGCTTAATTATTCTAACTTTTAAAGAAATTAAAAGCTCAACTAGAGTTTAAATAGAATAAAAGCTATAATGCGTTTTCTCTATGAAACAATGAAATAATCTCTGCCATTTAAATTAAAAATAAAATGGGCCAAAGGGGCTTTAACATCTTTGTAAATGTACGTTTTGTACTTAAAAAACAACAACACACTACAGTCTTCATTAGTTACATTGTTATCCAGAATTATTTTAAATCAAGTATTTCCTCTCTTCTCCCTCTTCACTAATGTCCCCCACTCTCCCCAGGCTTCAGGCATCTGGTCTTTAGAACTTTCACCTCAACATTCCTGCAGTTAAACAGGAATCTACTGCAGGAGGGGAGAGGATGGACAGGGAGCCATGGAGACAAACCGACAAACATTCTCGTGCGCCATTTGGAATCTTACCTCCCAAGACTTTATGTCACCAATTCAAGTTTAAATGTTCAGGGTTCTCTTTTGAAACTTTTGACCAACACTCTTGTGAACTGAACCACCCACTCCTCCTTAGAATGAGCAATATGACAGGGAAGTCTGTTAAGTCACAGAAGTAAGACTGAAGACGTGTTTGTGTCTAGGTGGAGATATTTTTGTGTAAAAATCGAACAAGCAACTATTCTCTGTAGGACTGGAGGTAACATTTCACATCATTCGGAAATTCTGAGTTCCCTCTCCCACCATTTCCTTCTGTGTTCAAATTATAGTTGGAAGGAATAAACAGCTTCTATCCAGGCAACTGAAAACAGCCTACTTAAGAACACCATAGAGGTTCCGTGTCGGTTATCAATTTTGAGTTTACATAACAACCCCTAAAATCTTTGCAGCTGAACTGTTCAGAGTATCAACTATATTAACAGGTAGAAACAAGGGTTTCACTGGGCCCTACCTGGTTCCTTCACTAAGATCCATAGGCTAGGTAGGGATAGGGAGATGGGATGGAAACTCTGCAGTTGGGGTATTAAAGTTTTCATTGAGAAAAAGGAGAGAATATACCCAAAAGTCTTCATGGAGTCCCACCAGACACTAAACAGAGCCATGAACAGGAAGGGCCAAGGACTGGAGTGTCTCAGGCTGAATGGGGATGGAGGAAAGAACACTGGGAACACTGGGGTACTGAACAGGGAAAGAAACTGGCCAGACATGATGCGAAAAAATAAGGGGTGGGGATGCCAGGAAGAGCCAGGTCTTAGAAAGCTACCCCAGGCAAGAAGGAGCCTGAGGTGGTGGTGCCCGACTAGGGGTCCTGGGGTCAGCAGAGCCCAGAGGTGTGACTGAGATCAGCGAACCCCTGCCACCTCCTTACCTTCGGGCAATTGCAGGTCACTGAGGCGCAGCACAGGGACGCCTTTGGTGAACATGAAATCCAAGAACTCAAAATCCCCATCAGCTCGGCCCGCCTCACGGTCATGGTCACCAGACTCAGGGGCCGGATGCACCGACTTAGAGTCCCGGCCCCGCCTCCGGCTGGCCTTGGGCTTCCAGCAGCAGCTGAGTTTGTTCCCCATGAGGAACCTCTACTCGCGCTGCTGTCACTGCCTTCACTCAACAGTCCCCCTAACCACCCCCCCGCCCAACCCCCAAAGGGCAAACCCA